CATCCAACATCCACACATCCAACATCCAACATCCAACATCCAACATCCAACATCCAACATCCAACATCCAACATCCAACATCCAACATCCAACATCCAACATCCAACATCCAACATCCAACATCCAACATCCAACATCCAACATCCAACATCCAACATCCAACACATCCAACATCCAACATCCAACATCCAACATCCAACATCCAACATCCAACATCCAACATCCAACATCCAACATCCAACATCCAACACATCCAACATCCAACATCCAACATCCAACATCCAACATCCAACAATCCAAACTTTCTACCCAATTTCTACCAAAAACCTACTCTTTTCACTTCCATTCAACTTACTCTAAACTACCATTAACTACTTCTTTACACTACTCTTACTACTCTTACTACTCTTACTTCTCTTACTACTCTTACTACTCTTACTTCTCTTACTACTCTTACTACTACTACTCTTACTACTACTACTCTTACTACTCTTACTACTCTTTTCCCATTACTACTCCCACACTTCCCTTCTCCCTTTTCTTTCTTTACTCTTACTACCCTTTTCACTTCTCTTTCTACCCTTTCTTTCTTTACCAACTTCTACTCTTTCTTTTCTACATTAACTACTCTTTTCACTACTACACTACTTTCCACTCTTCCTTTCTACCTTTTCTTTCTTAACATTTACTACTCTTCAACTACCTTTACTACCATACATCTCCTACTTTCTCCCTTTTCACACACACTACCTAACTACTCCCACACTTCCCTTCTACTCCTTCTACCTTCACTTTCATACTTTCTCCTACTTTTACTACTCTTCTCCCTAATACTCTACCTTTTAACTCTTTAACTACTCTTTAACTACACCACCTTTCTTTAACCACTACTACTCCCACACTTCCTTTTCACTACTACTACCACACTACCTTCTCCTTACCTTTTACTTCTTCCTTTACTTCTACTTTTACTTTAACTACTTTTACTCTTTAACTACCCTTTTCTCTAATACATTACCTTTCTTTAACCAATACTACTCCCACACTTCCTTTTACTTCTTCTTTTACTTCTTTCTTTACTTCTACTTCTACTACTTCTACTTCTACATTAACTTTCTCTACTACCACACTCCCTCTTCCTTTCCACTCTACTACTCCTTCTTCTTTCCCTTTACTTACCTCCTCTTACATCCCCTATCACTACCACACTTCCTTTACTCTACATTAACTCTCTTACTTCTACTACTACACTTCATTCTACTACACTTCCTTTTACTTTACCATACACTTACTCATTTACTACTACACCTTTACTAACACACCTTTACTCATCTCTCTTTTTTACATTTCCATTTCTTAACTTCTACTTTTACTTCAACTACTTCTCCTCTCTACCACACTCCCTTCTTAACTTCTTCCTTTACTTCACACTTTTACTTACTTTAACTTTCTCTACTTTACTACTCCCACACCTCCTTCTCTACCATTTACTTCCTCCTTCATTACTACTTCCACTACCCTTTTCATCATTTCCCTTCTACTTACTCTCTTCATCTTTACTTCTTTACTACTACCACACTTCCCCTCTACTCTTTACTTACTACCTTTCTACTACTCTTTTCACTAATCCACTTCCTTCCTACCTTTACTCTTTCACTAATACTCTTAACTACCTTTACTACCTTTCCTCATCTTTACTTTTTACATTTCCCTCCTTAACTTCTACTTTACTTATCACTACTACCAAACTCCCTTCTTAACTTCTACTTTACTTCCTTCTACTTCTTTACCTACTCTTACTATACCATTACTTCTAACCCTCTACTTATCACTTTACTACTACCACACTTCCTTTTAACTTCTTCATTACTTCTTACCTTCTTCCTTACTTCTTACCTTCTTCCTTACTTCTTACCTTCTACTTTACTTCTTACCTTACTTTACTTACTCTACTTTACTTTACTTACTCTACTCTACTTCTTAACCTTTTCTTCTACCATTTCATTCTTTTACTACTTTCTTATCATTACTTAACCCCTTTACTACTACCACACTACCTTCTCTTTACCATTTACTTCTCCCTCTACTTCTTAACTTCTACTCTACTTCTTAACTTCTACTCTACTTCTTAACTTCTACTTTACTTCTTCCTCTACTTCACCCATTTCCTTTCCCTTACTACTACTTTCCTATCTTTACTTTAACTACTTTACTTATCCTACTACTCACCTCTTAACTTCTACCTAACTCTACCCCACCTCCCTTTACTTTTACTTACTTTACTACAATAACCTTTCTTACTTTACTTCTACCACACCACCTTCTTTACCTTTTACTTCTTAACTTCTACTTTCTTTTTTACTACCACACCTCCATTTACTTACTTTACTAACCCTTCCTACTTTACTTCACTAACCTTTCTTACACACTCTACTCCTTCTTCCTCATTTACTTCAACTTACCATTAACACAACTACTCCCACACTTCCTTCTCTTCCTTTCCTTACTTACTTTACTCTTACTCTTTTCCTTACTTTACTTTACTTATCACTACTACCTTACTTCTCCCTTACTTCTTATCATCTTCATTTCTTACCATTCTCTTTTCTATTTCTACATATACTATCACTTATCATTTTCTTCTACCTTCTCTATTCTTTACTCCTTTTACTTTTCTAATAATCCATAACTACAACCTTTCTACTTCTACTTATAACTTAACTTATTTACAAACTACCTTTCTCTTCTTACTTTCTCCTCTTCCAATACTACTCCCACTTTACAATCTTACTATTACTATACCTTAAATCTCTTCTTTCTTACTAATATTATTTTACTACTTACTTCTACTTTAACATTCCTATACAACATTACCTTAAATCAATACTAATACTTCTCTTTCTAATACTACATACTTCCTTTCAAAATTCCCTTTTTTTATTCTTTTCTTCTTTTCCCTTACTTTAACACTCACTATTCTTACTCTTACTACTTCTTAACCACTTAATTCTTTACTTACTTAACTTTAACCACCTTCTCTTCTATACCATTTACATCTCAACTTCTTATCTTATAAACCAACTCTTTTATCACATTTTACTACCACACCACCCTTTCCATCACTCCTTTCTATTCTTTTTAACTGCGTCTCTTCCTTATCTTAACTCTACATCTACTTTAACATACCTTTTACACTTTAACACTTACTTTCTCACTTCTTTTCCTTCCTATTACATCTCTTCTTCCTACTTATCTCACTAAAACTTCAACTATTCATTCTTACTATACTTCACACTAATCTCTATACTTCTGCTTCTAACTTCTAATCTCTAACTATTCTTATTCTTTACTTTAACTTACTAACCTATAACTACTTACAATTTACTATAACCTACTCCTAGCATTACTACTCCCACACAATCCTTCTTTCTTTACTACATATCACTTTCTTTAATTATTCACTTGCGATATCCATTCGATCCCTTGCGATTAACTTCCACTTTTAATACTTAATATTACTCCTTCCACACAATCTATCTTTCATATTACTTTCTCTTACTAATTAATTTGCGATTCCCGTGCGATTCACTTCCACTTCTAAACTCTTTTCTAACAATAACCTAATATAACTACTATAGCCTACTCCCACACAATCCATATTTCATTACTACATATTACTTTAATTATTCACTTGCGATATCCATGCTATTCCTTGCGATACACTTCAACCAATTATACTGCTACTTAAATCAAACTTTACTTTCTTACTTATAATTACATATTTACTATTATTATATTTCTTGTTCTACATATAATCTACTTTACTTGTCATATTCTTTACTATTATTACATTTTTTACTTCATATTATAACACAAAATCAGCCTTGCTTAAATTTTTAAACATGCGCTCCCATTTTCAAACTATACTATATTACAATACTACCATACCTTACACCACTTGAACTGCTTTATACCTTATATTTTTATTATCCACTCGTTAATTCATCTTATAACATAATATTAGCATTATAATTGCATATTCATAATTTTATATACTATATCATCTTTATCATTTTTTTTTTAAATTTATTCTCATGCTAACACTTTTTCGCAATAATCTAACCAAATTCTCAAAAATTAATCACACTTAAAATGATTTTAACTTGCTTATTATTAATATATAATCACCTCCACACTTACATACTTTCAATTATTATCTATTATCACCTTCAACCATTTACACTTCTTACTAAACCAACTTTTTATTTCACATTTTATTCAAATATTTAACTATTTCTACATATTTTCTAACTCTGTAATACTAACTCTAACTTTACTTATTATAATAAAACATCTACCGAATTCCTTTATATTAATAATTTAATACTACTAGCCTCTTTTCCAATCTCATACAATAACTTACAATCACCCTTATTACCTAATAAAATATCTACTATACTTCACATAAATTACTACAAACTTACTCTTACCTCCACATAATCTATCTTTTTATTACCTTCTGCTTTATTCAAATAGCCCTGATACCATTACACTTCAATTTACTTTAATATCACTACGCAATTCCACTTTCACCTCAATTTATAATTTTGCGCTACTACCATATATACTTTCTTAACTGTAGCCTATTTTATTACTGCTTATACTAACATTACTTTAATTAATTCTACTGCTATCTAAATACCGTGCTTATACTTATTTCATACTTGCTATAACATTATCACTAACTTTACCCCATTTTTAGTTTGCTAAGTCTAGTACTAATACTTATAATTTCTACTATATGTAGTAAAACCTACTTCTAACCTACTTCAAGTTCAAATAATAGACCTTATTACTAGTCTTCCAATTAATTCTTGACAACTACATTATATTCTACTATTCTTCAACTTCATATCATTGATGAAATATTATTTTACTTCGACTTGTAAAATAAACGCTACCAACATATATTTTTATTTATCTACATCATATCTCAGTACTACTTATACTAACATGACTTAACTTGTTACTAATTACATCCAAATGCCCTGTATACTTTAAATATATACCTACTTTAACATTACCTTTAACTTTACCACATCTTATACACACCTTATATCTTATACTTTCCATTTCTAATATACTATCTTATCCTAGTCCAAAACACTACTACGTGTCAACTATCGTCATCATTATTACTCATATATATGTAGCATTATCTTAGAGTCTTCTATCACTATAAAATTTCTTGATATCACTTTTAAAATACACGTAAATATACTTATAAA